TGTTTCTCTCTCTGTCTCTGTCTTTCTGGTGAACACACGCGCCCTATAACAAAAACTTCTAAAAAAAAAAAAAATTCTAAAAGAGAGAGAGGGAAAGTGAGAAAGCAAGCTGCCAGGTCTGTGACACGAACCGTGGTCAGCCATGTGGGAGTCCACCGCCCCTAGCCACCACACCACCTGCCAGCCCCCACCTTCTACACTGTAAAGAGCATTTTATTTCATACCATAAACAAAAGAAACGTTTGTAAATTACTGCATATCATTTCTTTATGTTTTATGCTAGTAGAGTTGGATTGATGTTTGGAGACTTGCATGAAATTTCACACGGTTAAGTTAGGCAAAAATTAGATGCATTTAGTAAAGCAAGAGAAAAAATGATAGATTGAAGTGTTGGGGAGCTTTTATTGATTTGATTTATATTTGCACTTAAAAGTCATTACTTAAAGTAAGTACTACTTGCCTTAAATTAGGTGTTCTAAGGTGTTTTTAAATTATGTAGATATTAAAATGTAATTTATCACTGAATCCAGAAGAAATAGAAAATTACTAAGGTAAATACCATATTTAGTGCTGATTTGATTGGGCACCTTCTATGACTTGTTTAATAAATGTTAATGTGTATTTGCTATTTTTCAGTCTCTGAAGAAACTTAATCATGCCAATGTAATTAAACTGAAAGAAGTTATCAGAGAAAACGACCATCTTTATTTTATATTTGAATATATGAAAGAAAACCTCTATCAATTAATGAAAGACAGGTAGGTCTTTATTCTAGGAGAACTGTCATTTTCTCTGTTTTAATTTCTCCCATGAGTCCTTTCGTTCTTTCAAAATGTCATCTTTACAATACAGCGATTTCTCACCCCATATTTAAATTTAAATATATTTAAATTAATAACTTCTGTTCTTTGTCAAAGAGTAGCATTTAATACTGAAGAACCAGCTAGGACATAGCCACAGTTTTTTTTTTTTTTTCTTTCTGTTGTAATTCCTTGAAAGTCAGTGTTGCGGGACCAGCAGGTGGAATGGTGGTTAAGGTGCTGGACTCCCACATGGCTGACCAAGGTTCGAATCCTGGACCTGGCAGCTTGAAAATCACACTGGGTGTATGTGGGTGTGTGCCCAAAATCCTGAGAATAAAGGAGAAGGGATTATGGTGTGGCCATCCCCCATGGCATGTGATTTCTCCCTTTCCCTCTCACTTTCTCTTTCTTCTCTGGCTAGCACATCCGTCCTATGACAAAAACCTAAAAACAAAAACAAGTCAAGGTTTGAATCCTTGTCCCAGCAGTTAAAAAACACACGGGGTGCATGTGTGCCCAAGTCCTCAGAGGGTGAGGAAGTGGAGAAGGGACTGTGGCATAACCGCCCCATTGTGTGTGGGAAGGTGCTCTCTCACCTCTTTCTGTCTCTCTCTCTGGTGGGTGCATGTTCTCTCTAGCAGTCAAAAAAAGGTGGGGGTGGCAAGTGGCATGGTTAAAGGTGCTGGACTCCCACCCACATGGTCTACCACAGTTTGAGTCCTGGACCTGGTGGATGGCTTTCTCACTCACCCCCGTCTCTAGTGAAACTAAAAAATTAATTAATTAATTAATTAAAGTTACATAAAATAATTCTTTGAAAAGGGGGGAGAGAGGGACTGAAACATTCATGTCCCAAAAACTTAAAATTTACTTAACACAGATTTTCATATGTGGCTTATCTGATAATGTTTCAATTTGTTGTTGTTGTTGTTGGAGAGGTTTTTGTTTTTGTTTTTTGCTATAGGGCGCGTGCACTCACCAGAAAGGCAGAGAGAGAGACAGATAAACAGAAAGCGAGAAATCACCCCCCGGGGGGATGGCTACACCGCAGTCCTTTCTCCTTCATTCTCCTCTCGGGATCTTGGGCACATGTGTCCTGCATGAGTTTAACCCACTGGGTCCGGGTCTTAAACCGTGGTCGACTACATGGGAGTTCTGCAACATAGCCATTACGCTAACTGCTGGTCTCTCCTTTTTTTAAAAGAAAAGAATTATTTCATTTTCAAATTTACTTGGCACCTCTTGGCATAGGTTAGAGTTTAGCTATCGATTATCTGGTCAGTATATTCAGTTTTGGATTTGAGCTTTTAGCAAATGTCAAAACAAAAAGAAATTCTGATTTTTACATTTTAAATATATGACTTTTGGGGACCAGCAGATGGTGTAATGGTGTGACGTCACTGGACTCCCATGTTGTCCACCGTGGTTCAAGTCCTAGACCCGGTAGCTTAAAACTCAGGCTGGGCACGTGAGCGTGCATGGCCAAAATCACCGGAGGAGACTGGAGGAGAAGGGACTGCGGAGTGGCCACACCCTCTGAGTGATGATTTCTTGCTGTCTCTGTGTGTGTCTCTATTTCTCTGGTGAGCACATGTGCCCAGTAGCAAAAAATCTCTCTTAAAAAAAAAAATATGACTTTTAACCCTGTAAACCTATAAATTATACCTGTTGCCAATAAGATGGAGCCAACAGACTGCAGAGTGGGAAGACTGTCTACCATCTTTGTATTGGTTAGTTCGTTGGTAACAGAATTATATGATTATTTCTTCATTTCTTTACAGAAACAAGTTGTTCCCAGAGTCAGTCATCAGAAATATTATGTATCAAATATTGCAAGGGCTGGCATTCATTCATAAACATGGTAAGTTTGTTTGAAGTCTCATTTCCCCACCCCAACCCCCAGTTTATCATGGTAATATGCAGGAATTGTATGTCAACTGTTAAATGTTATATTGAAGAACTATGAGTTTAGGGTATATACCTACACATACTTTTTTATTTTAAAAGAAGAATTTCTGGGTCAGTAGGTGGCATGGAAGTTAAGGTGCCAGATCCCACATGGCCGACAGTGTGCTTTGGGTCGTGGACCTGGCAGTTTGAGAATCACACCAGGTGTGTGTGTATGTCTGTGTGCCTGCCCAAATTTCCGGGAGAAGAATGGAAAAGAAGGAACTGTGGTGTGATCAGCCCCTATGAGAGGTGATTTCTGTTTTGGGGGAAAGGTTTTTGCTATAGGGCATGTGCGCTCACCAGAAAGACAGAGAGAGACAGAAAGTGAGAAATCACCCCCCGGGGGGATGGCCACACCACAATCCCTTCTCCTCCATTCTCCTCTTGGGATCTTGGGTACATACACCCACACACACACATGCCTGGCGTGAGTTTAAGCCACCGAGTCTGGGACTCAAACTGCAGTCGACTACATGGGAGTCCAGCGACATAGCCATTACGCCAACTGCTGGTCCCGAGAGGTGATTTCTTTCTCTTTCTCTCTGACAAATTAACACACCTTATATCAAATTAAAATAATACATAGGAACCAACAGAAGAATAATAGTTATGTTGCTAGACTCCCAGATGACTCACCATGGTTCAAGTCCTAAATCTGGTGGCTTGAAACTCATGCCGAGTGCATGTGCGTGCATGCCCAAGATCCCAGGAGGAGAATGGAGGAAGAGGGATTGTGGTATGGTCATCCTTGAGGGGGTGGGGGCGTAGTTTCTCACTTTCCCTCCCACTATCCCTGTCTCTCTCTCTCTCTCTCTGGCAAGCACACTCACTCTAAAACTAATAATAATAATAGTAATAATATATGTTAAATGGCTAATTATTTTAAATGATTATAAATTTATTTATAAATCTTTAAATTTTACTTATAAATGATTAGCTTTCTTGCCAAATCATTTCGAAAGCAAAGTTCCTACCTCCATCATTTCTTAGACAAAATGTGGGATGTTTTTTCCCGTAAGATCATGTTTCTAATTACAGGAGAGAGACAGCTGTATTTTGTTTATAAGTGAAAGCTTTTTAAAACATGATGATTCATTGTTTTTCTTCATATTACCAAGGCTTTTTTCATAGGGACATGAAACCAGAAAACTTGCTTTGTATGGGTCCAGAACTTGTGAAAATTGCTGATTTTGGCCTTGCAAGAGAATTAAGATCCCAGCCGCCATATACTGATTACGTGTCTACCCGTTGGTAAGTAGTTTTACGCAGCTCTGCTATGTCCTGTGTCTGTGAACGGTCTTCAAAAGTGCATGGAAATTCATGTTTCTAAAATACTACGCATGGATTTCAAAATTTTTCTGCGCCCAAACAATCTCAGACTTTAATTCTATTTTTCTATGAACAAACTGTAGGGCCAGCCCTAGCATGGTGATTAAGTGGCTGTGCAGAATGAATGAGGAAGGCAGTGATGAGAAATGAGGTCCAAGGGGCCAGCAGGTGGCATAGTGGCTAAGGCTCTGGACTTCCACTTGGTAGAACACAGTTTGAGTCCTGGACCTGGCAGCTTGAAACTCACACCGGGCACATGTGCGTACATGCCCAAAATTCTGAGAGGAGAATGAAAGAGAAGGGATTGTGGTGTGGCCATTCCTCTGGGGTCTGATTTCTCACTTTCTCTCTCTTTCTTTCTCTCTCTCTCTCTTTGATGAGCACATACACACTCTAGCAAAAACTTAAAAAAAAAATACTAGGTTATTATGATGCATATCTATTTTGTAACAGGATCCACACAAGCTGTGCTAGTGTGGCAATCAAAATACAAATTATATTTGTCAGTATTTACAAGTCTCACACACACACACACACACACACACACACAGAGGTAAAGTAATTGAACTACGTTTTCATGTGACAATGATACTGACTATAGAAAGCCGTCAGTACGGCAGTACATGCTTGCTTTCTTCACTGTCATTTGAATTTTAGAACTGCTAGAGCCTTTGAAGAATTACTTTGTAAATCAATTGAAGTGATTTAAAATGGTATCTGGCTTCTTTGTAAACAAGTCTTTTAAATTTCGGTTGCATTTTTTTTCAAATCACCTGGAAATCTTCAGACAGAATATTTGATAAACGGAACACAAAAAAAACCCGAAGTTTTTGAAGCATAGAGCAAATTGAAGTGATCAAAAATGAAGTTTGCAAACCAAAGACCATGATATCTCTCCAAAGTGAAGGGAGAACTGAACAGATTAAATGATAAGAGCTCAGTGTACTAGTCCCCACCATGTATAATCAGATTTGGAAAGTCCCCTCCTGTGCCAGCGTAGCGGTGACTCGCAGCTTGTGATGCCGGATCCACAGGGAGGCCGTGGGTTTGGTTTCCAGTTTATGTAGCGGTGACTCACAGCTTGTGATGCCGGATCCACAGGGAGGCCGTGGGTTTGGTTTCCAGTTTATGTAGCGGTGACTCGCTGCTTGTGATGCCGGATCCACAGGGAGGCCGTGGGTTTGGTTTCCAGTTTATGTAGTGGTGATTTGCTGCTTGTGATGCCGAATCCACATGGGAGGCCGTGGGTTTGGTTTCCCGGTCTAGCTGCGCTCACCAGGCATGCACCCATAGTCCTGGCTGGCTCAGAAGGGGGCCAGAGTGGGATTGTGACACAGAACACCATTGAGGGTGCCTCTGCCTCTCATACTTAGGAAAGAAAGAAACTTTTTTGTTGCTGCATTAGGTTTTGTGCACTTGCCAGAGAGAAAAAGAGCCTAGGGAGGGTGGGAGGAAGCAACCTTCAATGCTCATGGTCTCGCTGCAATCCCTTCTCCTTTCTCCATCCTGTTGGGGGCATGTGTGCCTGGCATTTTTCAAGCTGCCATGGCCAGGACTTGAACTGAGGTCAGCCATGTGGTATCTGGCTCCCTTAACCTAAACTAAGCTATGGGGCCAGCCCAAAATAAATAAATATAACCAAAAAAAGTTTTTTTAAGAATTAATTTTATTTTTATTTTTTAATGTGACCAGAGAGAGACAGAGAGAGAAGAAAAGTGAAAAAATAAGCTGCCATATTTGGGACTTAAACCACAGTTGGCCACGTGGGAATCCAGTGCCTTAACCACCATGCTGTCTGCCAGCCTCACAAAAATTTGTTTAATTAAAAATACCCACTTGCAGGTAGTTTTACTTGAAGGAGACTCTAGTCTTAATTTGGTAAATTTAGATTCTATAATATTTTGAGATGGAATGAGAAGACTTAGAGTGTTTTAGCATCTGAATTTGATAAAATGTTCAAAATAATTTTGTCTTATAAAAACATGTGGAGGACCAACAGGTGGCATGGTGGTTAAGGGCACTAGACTCCCACTGGGTGGACTGTAGTGCAAATCCTAGACTTGGCAGTTTGCTTTCTCACTTTCTCTCTCTCTCTCTCTCTGTCCCTCTCTAGTCAAATTAAAATAAATAGGTAAAGTTTAACAAAAGAATTCTTTAAGAAGACATAGGTTGGAAAGATAACAGCAAGTGTAGGTGCAAATGTGGAGGATTGAGAACTCGCGTTCACTGGGAGTGGGAACGGAGAGTGGTGTAGCCACCCGGGAGACAGCCTGGCATTCCTCCATGGTTCAGCACAGAGCTCCCGTGTGGGTCAGAGCAGAGCCCCACCAGCCCCGCCTCTGAGACTGCAGTCCGAGTCGCCACCCTCCTGTGTTCTGTTTCCGCAGGTATCGCGCGCCCGAGGTTTTGTTAAGATCTTCGGTTTACAGCTCTCCCATCGACGTGTGGGCTGTCGGAAGCATCATGGCCGAGCTGTACACCCTGAGGCCGC